ATCCTAATTATTCTCCGTAGCTAAAGAAAAGTCTTGATGAAATTGGCTAAGTAGTGTCTAACTACTGTAGCTTTGAGCTAAATCTGACTGGGCACTTGTGGAGTTAGTTGTGAATAATAAAAGAGTACTTATTATCATGAATGGCAGCAGTTTAGGATAGTACTTATCAGAGAAAGTAGTATGATAGTATTGTTTCCTTTACTAATGCAAACAAAAGTAGCGGCCCCTCCTTCCACTTTTATGGGTAATAGTACTGTTTTTGCCTTTTGGAGGGTCTTTTTGCATACTTCATCTTATATGTTTTATTAAGCTATCCCAACTCGAGTCCTACTTTACTCATTCGAGTTCAAATCCAAAAGAGTCTTATGCCCTTCCAAGGTGAAAGAACTTACTTAAAAACTTCAACTTCAATAGGTCGATACTAGTAATAATCTCACCAACTAGGAAGTAATCTTGGTTTCTAACTTTGACCCTAGTCAAAATCGAGACTCTGCTGCCTGTTTCTGAATCTCCTTCGTGTGGTAGTAATCTTGTACTTATTTCCGAGTATCGACGAGTGGTCTATAGATCTGGACAGTGATCTCTAAATTTCATTAAGTTCAGTGAGGTGGGGAGTCCTTGAGCTTTATCTTTATCATTCTGCATTGATAGCTACCTCTAACAGATTTATTTGCATCCATTCAAGGTGCTTACCTTGTGCTTGACGCCTTTGCGTTCTCTAACTAGATTTGTTTTGTTAGAGTTATGACCATGTTGCTTTAAAGTTAAGTAACACACAAAGAGATAACAACCCTTTCACTTAATTTGAAGCTTCGCGTTGACTACTAACCTCCCTTTAGATACAGTTTTAACCTTAATTTGCTTAGAAAGGTCTTGGGATTTCCTTGTTGAACACTTTTGTGAACATGCTAAGTTACTCAGTTAAGCTCGTGTTCCGTGCAAGTAAGTGCGATTATTTTTAACTAGAAAGTATCCTTGATTGTTATCGTTATAATTGTTAAGTGACGTTTCTTGAGTGCTGTTACCTACTAATAATACTCAATGTTATTAAACTTTTTTATTATTATTTAAAACAGAGCTATTATCTAGTATATTTAAACATCAGAATCGCTCGTATATGAAATAGGAGCTTTTCGCTCGGGCCTCGTTGCACTCGCTCGTCCGGTGCGAGTATTTTATCTTAACTTTTGAATCTTTTTATCATATTTTTAGCGCGGGACGTCCAAGGCTTCCTTGGTTATCGCTGCGACCACAGCGAGGCTAGCGTCAGTTATCCTTTAAAGATCCATACATGGCCGCTATGCAGGCTGGTGCAATTTAATGGTAGCATTAGGTGCTCTTTTGGTGCCTTTGACCGTTTAATTGAACCTAACTGATGAAGCTTCGGGATTTCACTGTACATGCTTTAACTGTGCAAAGATTGCTTTTTGCCGCCAGAGCGTTATCGTAAAGTGTTCAAAAAAGATTGGCCCTATATATTAAATTAGCGCTCAACTTAGGCGTTAGTCCCAACGAGTTTTCGATGGTTTCGATCTAGGTTACTTAATGGGTTGCCACCCAAAGAGTGGAATGCTGCGGGCAAGTAAACTTAACTTCAACGGGTCATTTATATCTCTACTCTGCAACCTAGCCAGAACTTAGTGTCAGTAAAAACTGAAGCAATCTACTTGAGATCAGCTATGACACTAACGGTTAATTAACAGTGAAATCCAATGCAGCGTGATTATGGTAACTTCCTTATTAGAGTTCTGTGTTGTGAGGTTTCTGCAGTACTTCGGAGAGTTCTACAGTTGCAATAACTAGCTGACTTAATCAATCAAACATATACTAAGGACGCACAGGTCGAAAGATCTGCTTTTAAAACTGGTAGAAACTCTAGGTTGGGTAAAGACCTTCGGGAGGTTAAATCTTATCTGTATCTTAGGTTTTAACATTATGGTTAGTAACGTATTGCTCACTAACGAGACTTGGTCCTAAACGGATGAAATCTAAGTGAACTTTATAGTTAAACCCTAATAATAAACACACAAAAAGATCACACTGTTTCACTTATTAGGACAGCTCCGCTTTGAGTACTAGCATTGCCTTCCGGGGCAGTTTTTTGTAACATACCGAGGAAAAGCATGGAAATCCTTGGCTGAAGCCTTGGTGGGCTGTGCTAAGTTGCTAAATTAAGATCTTGTTCAGTGCAATTAGGTGCGGTCAAAAGCAAACATGAAACCTAGTTTAGCAATGAGCGATGATAGAAAAGATTGTTTGCCTCCTTCCAGGGCCGCCGGCGACTGATTCTCCTTGTAGCTTAGGTTCTTCCCTTGTCTCATTGGACTTGTTGGTCGGTGTGTAACTCCACTGTAATAATGTGTGTTACTATAGTCTTAGCTACTAGTACTATATATATAAGGCGACCATATTGATTAATTTATTTTGTATGGTGTTAATTTTAACTGCTAAAACTCTCCGAGCGAAGAAGCCAGTTGAAACCTAGCCAACACCTTATTTTAGTCTTTAGTTTAGTGTTATTTACCCATAAGCATCAAAAACTTTAACCTGCTATCTTTCTACGGGTATAAGCACTGTCTTTGACACTTTGGGCGTGTTATTAACGAATTAAGTCGTTTAAAAACCCGTATAAGTGATAAAAGCTAATTAGCTCTTTCTCTCCTGCACGTGGCATCTTTTGTATCAGCGCAGGAGCTGGCGTCGCATCCTCCATTGGCTCGACCACAGCGAGGTACGCGTCGACTATCCTTTAAAGATTCAATTTTGGCAGCTGTGTAGGTTAGGCTGTTAGTGGTAGCACTAGACTTCTTTTGAGGCCTTTGACTGTTAGCAATCCTCGGTGCTGGCGTACACTCATTAATGGAGCGAGGATTGCTTTTTGCCGCGAAGCCATTGTCGTCAAGAGGTCGGAAAAAATCATCCCTATATAAAAAAGCGTCTACCATGGATGGTATTCTTTTAGGCTTCACGATGGATTTCGGTGTAGTGTTGCTATTGGGTGCTATCCAGAGATGAAATGGCGTGCAAATGTAGGCTTATCTGCCGCGGCTCAGGTCACCCTCTTCTGTTCGGCAGTGCATGGCGGCTGTTCTTGGAAGCTCACTGCTTATTAATTCTCATTCATAGCAAATTATGGCAGTATCCGAGTTAATGCTTTGGGTTACTTAATGGAATTACAAACCAATGGACCGTGATTATGTTACCTTCCTGCGGTGTGCTTTAAGCTCAGGGCTGCACGTTACTCTGGAAAGCTGTAATTTCTTTACTGGTCGTATCGAAAGATAGACCTTTAAAATTGGTAAAACCTTCATATTAGCTTGACTTCTTTGGCAGATGTCATCTTCCTTGCGTCAAGGAGCGTACGTGATGGTTATGCACAAGCCTTGCGCCTGGTGCCTTCGTGTTTGGTATTAGAACCGTATAGCTCTATGACCAACCTTAAGAGGGTATTGACTATTAATTAGTAAAGGCTAATTAACCTTGAACTTTTTAGAATAACGCCGAAGTGAGGTATTCTGGCATTGACTTCTGAAGCTATTTATTCTTAGACTTAGTAAATGAAGAGCATTTTGAGCCTTTACTGAAACATTAGCAATATTGGCTAAGTTGCCAGAGTAAAACACACTGTCGGCGCAAGTTACAAAGACAAAAGCGAACTTTGTGGCTGCTCTGGCGATGAGCGGTGACTAATAATAGTATGCCTCGTTGCTAGGTCAACGGTGCATTTCGGCATTTGGCTTATGTATCTAGTGATAGGTCAAGTAACCTTGAACTAATACTGTCTTGGCTAAGGTGTCGGAGTGCATCAGTGTTAGTGACATGTTGTTAAGGTCGACCTAGCTAACTGATCGAAGCAACGTGAACTAAATAGTGTCATTAATCATTGTACTTATTACAGAGGCTCTTTTACCTCAAGCTAGGGTGGGTTTGTCACATTTTAGTTAAATAAAATTATTTGTAGCAAAATAAATAGTATTCTTTTTTCTTGTTTAGTCTGTTAAGCTCTATTTTACGTATCACTGCGATGTTATACGAGAGTATTTTGGTTCAGCTTTGTAAACGAGTAAAGCATGGAAGTTTACTGTTAAGGTTGAGGAGAGATTACAATATCTAGTAAGTCTTGCAATTCCCATTTGGTCAATAGTTTTGAAAATCGTGCAACTTTCTAACAAACGATTTTTTAACATGAGAAAAGTTTTATTGATTTACTTCCATGGTTCTGCTAGCGTAGACGTTAAGTTTACCTACTAAGGTGAGTTGACTTTTTTTAAATATTTAAATTATTGAAGGTGAAAGGGTTAGGTTGGAAGAACTTGTCATCGAACACGCTGTATTCTTGCTAACTGATAGTCGTGAAAGCAGGTGGTTGCCCACTGTCCTTTGCCAGGCTCATGATAAAGTTAAGCAGCTTTTAGATTTTATTAAGCTTCATCTGTTGAGGATAAACTAATAGATTTGTATGAATGCCGCTTTGGGTTTCGATTCTTTTGTGGTTATGCGCCATTGAAATTACGATAATCCTATTTAAAAAACGCTTGAGTTATTAAAAAACTATTATTAAGATAAAATTATGATAGTAGTCGGTATAGAAAAAGGTTTTAATTGAATATTTTAATTATTTTCATTTAAGTTTGTTACTTTAGTTCGGATGTTGTGGCTCCAGTGAACATAATATTTATACAAACCGTTAATGTGACTCTTTGCTAATTATCTACATCAAGTTCTTTGAAAGCAGAACATTGGACCAGTAGTGCACATTGACGAGGCCAGGCCTATTTTCGACCACTAGTATATCATCCTAATCAAATCAAAAAACTTGACTTTGCTACTATGAATGCACTCTAATTACTACATGTTACTGCCTAGCTTCCTTCAGTATTCACAATAATGCAATGGTGGGCGTCCCTTATAATTTTAACTTTTTTTTTTTAAGCTATTGCAATTATGGGCTTGCAATATATAATAATCGTGTGCTAATAAAATACCTTTTTGTAAAAACTTTCCTCTACCTTAATCTACATATAAGTAATACAATGTCGCAGTTTTAGTTTAACAGGATAAAAGGTTGACTAAAAAAAAAATAACTAAAAAAGATATTATACCGAGGAAACCTGCTAATTTTTTATAAATAGGCCTTCCCTTTATAGCAAGCATTTTAACAGTAGAATTGTTTGTTTCCTTTTTGCAGTATCCGGAAAGGTCAGTTCATTTATATTTTTAATTATTTTCTCTGAACTTACAACCTTAAGTGCACTTGCACTAAAATAAGAGTACTAAAAAAAATTTAACTTTAAAATTACTTTATATACCCGTTACTATTTTGTTAATATTGCCTAATATTGTTAACCCTTCTATCTCCAGCACTGAAGTTGAGGAGACCCCTTTGGGTACTCCATATTATATGGTGACCGAAGCAAGCTTTTTTTAATTTTTAATTAAATTATTAGGAATAGCTCCTCACCATATTCGAGGGTTTTTGTCCCTGTATAATTTATTAATATCCCGCGGGGAAGCTTTTAGTAACTGCGTTTATGCTCTGAGAAGGTTAGCAATTAAATCAATTACAATGAATATTATAAATATTAAAAGTCTTGAAGGTCCTGCATGCATTTTGGGATAACAAGGAAGAATTGTTATTAAAGTGTTGCAACGACGCTCTTTACTTGGAGGAGATTACCGAGTTGGCATTTACGAAAGAAAATATTGATCAAGTAAATTGTTATTGTGTTTGGTCGCTTTATTCAGTAGATTCTCTTACTGGCGTTTTATAAACAGTTCTACTTGGACTCTGATCTTGAGGATAATAAAGAGGATTAATATTTAATTACTTCATCATTTTGCAGCTATACAAAATAACTTAATAAAATGAACGTTTCTTTATAGGGGGTATAGAATTGCAACCTTGCCGAGTTCTTAGTCCGACAATCTGACACTCCCGTCACGCAGGCTAGGAGCGCACGTTTGTACCAAAAGCTGAACTTTTGTATCAAGCAGTCGATCCAACACCAATATTTTATTTTCATTTGATATGCAATAAACGCTACGCAAATGTTTAAAAATTAATAGAATTTTTGTTAACGATGTCATTATGAAAGCCAATGATGGAAGATGAATAAATAGATGCACCAATTAAATTACGCTTGTGATAGCCACTAACAAAAATTATATACTAACTTCAAAGAATTTATGACATAGTGTGTATACTAAAAAGTTTTTAAGTTACTACATCGGTTGGTACACTAAAGAAACATGCTCTTACCCCTAGAGAACCGGTTTTCACGAGAAAAGTTAGAAATACCAGTTTGGGTTCCAAGTTCTGTAATGCCCCGGGGTTTTTTCAGGTCTCCAAAAGTTTGGGGTTGTTAGGCGTTTTGAGGGTTTGAATGTTTTTACAATAAATTATAAACACACTCCCAGGGCCTGTTATTTAACCTCTGCAGATAAAATTATTGAGGCGGGCCTTATTATCAATAAAATATTTTAGTTAGCAAGGCTCTAAAATTTATTTATATACTATAAGATTTCAAACTATTTTTACAGTTCTATACTGAAAGTAATAAAATCATTATTATCAATAAAGCTTATATTAAAAAATAACTATAAAGCTGAACTTCTGTTATTTATCTTCTTTTTATAGACAAAAATTATAGTTTTTTAAATTTTTTTATAGTTTAAGTTAGAATTAGGTAAATTATTTAATCTTGGTTATAGGATTTCATAAATCTGGTTACAGTAATCTAAGAGAGTTCTTCTTTTTAGGTTTGAATGGAACTTTAGTTGCTAAGTAAATTAGGTGTATTACACTTTACAAAATAATTGTATATTGTAAGCTACACTAACACCTACAATTTAGTGAATCTCTCTAAGGTTTTGCTTAAGTCTTTATTTAAAATATTTTGTTTAACTAAGTTGAACTTATAAATTAGGTTATAAATTAGGTTTTAAAAAGCTATAATTTTTTTTAGAGTTATAAATATGCAAACAATACTAAATTTTAAGAATTACTAATAATTTTAAAGGTAACGTCAGTTATTTTTGCTTTTATTACACCTGCAAAATCTAGATTTTGTATGACCAACAATTAAGATATAATAGATTCTATAAAACGGATAAATATAAGAGCTTCGACGAAGTAAAATAAAGTCAAAGAATAAAGAGTTACTAAATAAAAAGGACACTAGAAGTGCTAAGAAAAAAAGTAATTAAAAAAAAAAGTAATGTAGTCACTTAGTAAATTATTTATACTACTACTAATAGATATACCAACAAAAGTTTGTAAAACGGTTCACATGGTCTCAAAACCTATTTCAAAAGGATATATAGTTTGGAGTGTATATAAAATATATAGCTGAAAACATAGATTGTAATAAACAAAAGGTAGGGATAACATTTTTTTTTTTTTTAAAGTGAAAAAAGATACACAAATGAACCCTGAAACAAGGGCATACAAAATTCCAATTCACCATCACAGTTTAATTTTAACCCAGAACAAATATAAACAAAGCCATCAACCAATAGGAAAAATAAAAAGTAATAAAATTTATGGTTCTCCCACAAAAATATACTTTTTAGTTTTATCAACAACTCTCTTTAAAGGGTCAAGCTCTGCTAAAAAATCTAAAGACTTTATTTATGTTGTGTAAATTATGGTGTTCGTTTTTTTATAAGGTCAATGGGCACTTAACGGCATGACCTTTCAAGAATGTTTTTATCTTTTTTTTTCAATACTGGCTTACTACTGTCTAATTTAGAAGCACTGTAAAATCTGATTTAAATTCCCCCGCCTCGGGGGTTAATAAATTATTATTCACCAGTGCCTTTTCCCAAAGGGTTATCGTGACTGTCCAAAATGAATGAGCGGTTTCGCAGAGGCGCATTAGGCTGGGATCGGCCACGTTTAATATAGTATATACTAGTAAATAATACTATCCGTATACTGTAATGTCCTAATGCTATTCTAGGACGCTACCGTTTATGAGATGTAAGCTCTCTTTAGCGCACCACAACAAACTGTACATATATTCAGCCTCGATGTAGTTCGAAGTAAGTTTAAACCGTGCCAATCTAAATGTAAATGTTATGATTTAGTTAATAAGCTTCTCACTTTGCTGGACTAATGCAATTTTTAGTGTGATAATAGGATTATGTACTATTTCAGAACCGGTTTCAAGGTAATCCTAAAGCTTCTTGAATCGATGCAAATAGTGTTATCTATGGTACCCATGCTAGCAACCTTCAAAGTTCCGAACAGTACAAGACAAAGATATACTTCAAGAAAATACCACAGGCTTTCGGACGCACCTATTCACTCCAGATGCAGGCATTGCTACCACTTAGCCTTATATTACACAAAATCAAAGGACCTACCTACACCTTTGTCTAAAAAAAACGGTTGAGTAGGCAATAGTCCTAGTATATCAACACCGGTTTGATTATCGAGAGAATGTTAGTAAGCTAAAAGCTAAGTTGTAAATCCTTTCTAGTCTGACACCGTTCGCCATAACCCTTAATGAACTTAAAAAAATGGGACCTTTTAAAGAGCTCAAGTGACTTATTAGTTTTCTCATTTTTAAGAGCAGTCTATCGGCCCAAGAAGACTTTTGGCTGTTGGACTAGACTATTCTCCCCTAAGACTCATCAAAGTGCACGGTAACTCTAATCACTTACCCTCAAAAGCACGATAACCATGTTACTGCCTACTGTGTTCTGATCATATAACTGAAGAGATAGGATGATTAATTACGAGAGCCTACTGTATAATTTCAGCTCAAGTCAAGTCAAGTAGTTCGAAATATAGTTAGTCAGCACCCTTCAATATAGTGACTACATTTCACTTGCCGTTTTTCCTTGGATGGCGTCCGACACATATACATCATAGGGTGAAGTTTGAAGTCACACCGGATCCTATAGGTTGAGTCCAACGAGGAATTCCACCTTAGGGCTAATTTTCTTCGGTCGCTTAACGATAGTAACCTACGCCGTTGTTGTGTTAAATCGTTACTTTATTAAGAGTGTACAACATTGCAGGAAAGCGCCGAGGATAGCCAACAGCCAGGTCTCCTACTCAGAGCCCAACCACCTAAGCTGAGGTATAACACTGGCCTTACGATCTAACTAACTTTAGATTAAGACCAAATAATATCCTAGATCGCTGTGACCACATGGCAATGAAAGATGCCCGCGCAAGACAAGCGTTGAGGATATTAAAAGATAAGAACGCTGGCACCGGCGCGAGCATCGAGAAAGGAGGTTTTCCCATTCTCTTATACATGCTTTTTGAAGGGCTTAAATATACAAAATACCACCCTTTGGAGGGGTAAAATAGTGTTCATACCCAGATTAGTTAATCATTCCTTTCAATATGAGATAAAGATGCTAGATATTAATATATATTATTATCTTTTTTATATACATTTTGATAACAAAATTATATATATATTTATATATCTTGTTACCTCTCGCTCTCCTGTATTATACATACAACAAAAATTCTAGACGCCTAAGAAGCAGTGGGCGCTAACGAAACGCTCTCCAATAATTGGTACATTAGTTTTTTTTTGCGAGTTTTTGGGTGGTGTGTCGAGGAAAGAAGAAACCGTTCATAAATTATATGGCAACGATGTAAAGTATCGTTTCAAATATTCCACATCGCCTCCGGCATCGAGCGAGACAAGCTTGTTATGGCCCATGTGCAGCGAAGAGACTATTGGCTTAGACAGCAGGTGCATATTTTATGAGTGGCCGGCCTCACAACGCAAAATAGCGCAGCACGATAGTTTGCTGCTGGCGCAAAGTAAACGATAAAAAAAATTCGATTCGCCATTGAGATTCACGTGTGACCGCCGCGCGTGCTTACAAAAAGTTAATATTAACAAAAAAAATTTATACTTTTAAAAATTAAATTTTCTAATAACATTATATGTGTAATATATACATAAGTATATTACATAGTAAAGTATGGTTAAGGAAAAAGAGAAAATGTAATAATATTTATTAAAAAAAAATATGTATAAAGTATAAAAAATAGAAAGGAATTTATAATCTTTACAATACAAAAAAAAGATATTGAAATATTATATATATAAGAAAAAACAGTTATAAATATGCACTAGGAATATAATTACATAAAAATCTAGCTATCGAGCAAATTTTTATGTAAAATATAACTCCCCTTAAACTTTTTTTTTATTTTTAAAGTTTTAATTCTGTGTTAATTTTCATTATAAATTTTTATTTAATTCCTTATTTTTATTAGTTATATTTTTTTATAGGCACTTGAAAGCTCGTCACTCAAACAGACTTTGACTTTACTTTTGAAGCCGAAAGTATATTTAGTCCTTTAGGGTTAGGGTCATTTAACTATGAAGTTTATACTAAATTAAATCGAA